TATAGCTGCTGCTTCGCAGTTCTTCACTCTTTGTGTGTGTGAGATATTATATATATGTATGGATGGAAAGAGGAAGGGATTGAGTAAAAGAGATGTACAACGAACCTCTTTACTTTACACAAGAGTAATGTCAACCATAACCCCCCCCCCCAACTGCTCTTCTAACCAGAGGGCCTCTGCAGCCCTTCATGTGTCCCGTGTGATGTGTGGGCTGCCTCACCACCCCACCACCTCCACCCATATAGCCTGGCAACCATTCACTAAATCGTCTTCCTCTACACACCATCTCTCCCATATCATCCTCTTAACCCTCCCACGCATTTAGCGATGGTTGTCACTCCACCCATCCTGCCCCGTGTGTGAGAGCCTGCACAAGTACACCTGTGCTGTTAAGAGTTCAAGAAAATAAAAGCATGCGATAAGAGGCACAAGAGAGACAAAGAGGGGGAGTGGTGGCGGCCTATCAATCATTTCGGTGTCGTACTTCAGGATATATTTTAGTGATGCTCTGATCATGTGTAGAAATAACATGTTCTTTGATGGAGCTTTGTTGTCTGTGCATTTCTCAGGCGCCTTGGAAGATATATTGCTGTCTTACCTATATATTGAGATCTTTGGGGCCAACAGTCCCGTCTATATGTGGGCGTAGACGATATTTGTTGCCTGATCATACATAAACTATAAGGTTACCAAAAGCTTCATATATTTATAGGAAAGGTGGGAGTGACAACGAGTGCATCTATCATCCGGTAACTTCACAAAGGTTATTAAACAACAGTTAGGAAATCACACTTGTTCTAAATCGACCGAGTGAGCACACCTAATTCAATACGTCGCTGGACATAGCTAAAGTCTGCCCACTACGTTACAAGTTTGGCATTTTTCAGGGACACGATATATACGACTCTGCCACAGTAAAAAATAATATGCATGCGAGTGTTGATTGCCTGACCTTCCTAATAACCTGTTCACACCTACATTACTCCACGCGACTCCACCCATCATCCACACATGCCTGTAAACAACTCCACACCCAAAGCGTGGTTGGTATGTTTCAGGAGGCGGGGGAAGAGACCCATACTTCTCTTCCCTGTAATTGTGTAACTAGCGTCAAAACATTGTTATTTGCTTAGCTAAACGAACTAAAGGGTTCAGTTCCTGAACCGATTATGTGCCTCTGTAATCCTTTACACCACCGCCCACGGGATGGGTATGGGGTGCATAATAAAGAAACTGAATTGCCGAGGCTACAGATCCACCCATAGGTGAGGGCTCCTATGGGAGGCGGGACAGAAAGACCACGGATAGAATAGGCAGCGTAGATTTAGCAAAAGGTGAACCCCCATTAGGGTAGGATATGAGGCACTAACGAAACGAGACATCCAGAGAAGGGAAGGGGGTCGAGAGTTGTTGTTGTTTCTCCTGGTGTAAAAATAGTGATGATAAGTTATCCTTCAAGTAACGGGTGGTGGTCGTCAGGGCAGTGTGCTGTGAATCAACACCAGCCAGTCTGCGGATCACAACACTGGCCTGGGACCTCCCTCAATACTCTCTCTTGTTCGTGTTGGTGGTGGTGGTCTTCCTCTCCCCCTGGCTCCCACTACACCCATCCTTGTCTCCCCCTACTACTACTACCTCACCCCCGTCTCCTCCACCACCACCCAATCCTTCTCTCCCTTACTACTACCCCCATCCTCGTCTCCTCTAATACTACCAACATAAAATCATATCAGATGTCACCCCCTAACTCCACTTAACTGGTTGATACCTGGTTGATGGGGTTCTGGGAGTTCTTCTACTCCCCAAGCCCGGCCCGAGGCCAGGCTTGACTTGTGAGAGTTTGGTCAACCAGGCTGTTGCTTGGAGCGGCCCGCAGGCCCACTCCAAGCAACATTATGAAGCACTTGATTATGCAGTAACCATAGGTAGCATGCCCATGCACTCTGCACCAGGCCCTGATCCCTGGAGCTCCGTATTCATCAACAACTGCAAAAAAACAACTATCGCAGGCGCTAAACATTTTTTCCAGCCGGACCTTAGATACCGGCGTTATCCCTGACATAGTAAAAACAGCAGATATAGCACCACTCTATAAAGGAAGGAATTAAGTCAGAAACAAAAAACTATAGACCGAACTAACATCACACATCATAAAAATGTCAGGCCGTGGGGACGTTGATGCTCAGAACGAACGCATAGTAACCGGACAGTAAGGTAATCATCATATCTGTCGCCTCGTTCCTTCTTTCGATACTAGGACAGGTACCGGGGCCAGATGAGGTCAGCCGAAGACCTCACTGTCTATGGGATCGTCAGCAGCCTGGGGGACCACACAGCCTGGAAATGTTCCGTTCCGTCACGCTTCACCCCCTCCGTCCCTCACGTCCCCTCCTGTCATCTCCCAGTGGTGATGACGGGTTAGGTACGAGCGACGCACCAGAACACCCCGTCAACACGACACGGATTATCATACATGTATCCCTGTAATATATACCACGTGTGAAGGACACACTTCTGGGCGTGGCCTCCATCAGCCGGGGTTGGGCGTGGTAACTGGTAGCAAGTGACATGTTCCTTGCCCGCCCTGGCCAGCATCCGCCCACTTCCACCACCCCGTAGACGGCGAGGGGGGGGGGGGACGCCAGGAACAATGGGCACTTCAGCCTTCACCAGATAAGACTCAAGGCAGTCCTCCCTCGGGGGATGAAGCTACTCTCACTACGCCCCGTCACGACGCACACAGGCCTATCTCCTCTCTAGGCCTCCACATTTCTCATTCTGTGCCCGCCGCCTCCACTGTCGCGGTGCAGGTAAGGCAGAGGCGCACTACCATGTGTGTAGGGTGTACGTGTACCACACACCCGCTACCACCACACCACCTCTCGTCTCAGCCACACCCACGCCAGAGGAACTATCAGGACGCAACAGTCACAAGTTACAGGAACCAACCACACGGCCGGATACAGACAGTGGGTGTGGGGGGGGGGCGCCACCCCCCCCCCCTGTTTATGAATGAAAACGGTCTACACACGACTCACAACTAATGACGTTCCAACAATTCTCGAACAGTGCTTCACTGACGACCTCTGTTTGTATCGCATATCTACAAATACTTCACCACACGCACAACAAATACAAATAATCGCCAACCTAACCTACACAGGGCCTAATTAAACAATAAACTGTAAATATATATAGAGGGAGTGAGAGAGAGAGAGAGAGCAAGGTTTCTTAAGGATCTAGGTTCCAGGCTCATTGACACTACAAGAGACCCTAGAACGGCAAGTTCTATCTTTCAGCGCCTCAGTGTGGCGATCCAGAGGGGAAATGCCCGCTGCGACCTCGGTTCCTGCCCGGCGTCGGAGGAGTTCGAAGAAATCTACAGCCTCTAGGAAACAAACTTCCCCTTCCTCAACTTCTTTGAGGATATATTATATAATATTATATATGCGAACAAGCTTGAATGGTCCCCCAGCCAATATGCAACTGAAAACTCCACACCCCAGAAGGATTCGAACCCAAACAGCCAGGAGCACTATGCACTATTGTTTAATTAGGCCCTGGGTAGGTTAGGTTTTATTGGCGATTATTTGTATGTGTTGTGCGTGTGGTGAAGTATTTGTAGAGATGCGATACAAACAGAGGTCGCCAGTGAAGCACTGTTCGAGAAATGTTGGAACGTCATCAGTTGTGAGTCGTGTGTAGACTGTTTTCATTCATAAACGAGGAGTTTGGCGAAACAAAGCTGTTTTAATACACAGTACGTTCAAAATGGATGAACGTCTCTCTTGATGGGTGGAGGTGAACACTGGTGCATGGATGGAGATGGGCAACAGTAGTGAGTGAGTGAGTGAGTGAGTGAGTGAGTGGGGTGAGCGCTGGGGTTCAACACAACGTACTAACTACTGTACCACTACCCCATGGGACACGTGCACGCTTCTGACAGATAGTCAAGGGCTCACACCACCACACACACACCCGTTGACAGCGAACGTGACGCACGAATGGTGAGTGTGGGGGAGGTTGTGGGGGAGGTTGGGGAGAGTGTGGGGGAGGTTGGGGAGAGTGTGGGGGAGGCTGGGGTCAGTGTACCTCCCAGCATGTTGTTATTTTACTGTGCAACTTTGGGACCGAGGGAGGCAGGTGGGCGTGTGACGAGGGAGGAAGGTGGGTGTTGTGGGGGGAGACACAGGGGGGGGGGAAGGGGCGGGGAGGGGACTAAGAGGGTGACACCATCTCCACGCTACACACTCCATAATAAACAGCTTCCTTGCCCTAGTTGCTGGCCGTGTCCCAGCATGGGAGGACACGCATCATCTGCGGCACCTAAGTTTGGCCCCGGGAGACTGGTTGATTGATCAACAACTTCTCTCGAGCTGCAACAATGACGGCATAAACATATAAATAACCTAATCCGGTCGTCTCTGCATTATATATACCATATTATATATATATATCCTTAGGGTTATGCGGCTCTCCAGAGCAGGTAGAGTGAAACCGGAGGGGATAGAGCTGTGATCCAACAAGACACATGGGTAAACAGTAGGATGATGGTACTCTTAGTCTGTCGCCTATCCTTTGGTCAGAAGAGGGGGATCTCCCATCACCTCACCTACCACCCCCACTCCTTATCACTAAAGGAATGGTTTTGTACCAAATTTGGGTTACCTTACCTTGAAGTTACCTTGAGGTGCTTCCGGGGCTTAGCGTCCCCGCGGCCCGGTCGTCGACCAGGCCTCCTGGTTGCTGGACTGGTCAACCAGGCTCTTGGACGCGGCTGCTCGCAGCCTGACGTACGAATCACAGCCTGGTTGATCAAGTACGGGAGTTACTGGTCCCAAAGACTCCTCCACCGCTCGTGGTGATAATATTAGTCAAGACTGAAGGTGAAGGTAGTAATGGGAAAATGATATATACATACCATCGTATATACATCAGGCATCATGTATACACAGTCACAGGCTGCCTGTCCCCCCGACAAGTCTTATTAGGCTACTTACTGTCGAGCTTGGCGACGACGTCGTCAATAACACACTGTTTGGTGTAGGAGTCTTCTATGGTGGGGTCGTAGTCCGTGGCGAAGTAACTCTGGAACATACAAACCCCACTGTTAACACCACGCTGTAAACATCCCTAAAATGTCTGGGCATGAATGCTGTGACGTCGTGAAGGCAGGGGGGGGGGGGAGGAAGGGGGAGGGAAGGGGGGGAGAGAGGGAAGGGGGGGAGAGAGGGAAGGGGGGGAGCGAGGGGGGAAGGGGGGGAGAGAGGGGGGAAGGGGGGGAGAGAGAGGGAAGGGGGGAGGGAAGGGGCAGCAGCAACAGACATCAGAGCTTGCCCAACTACCCCCTGGGAGCCCGCCCCCGCCCCCCCCCCCCCCACCACCGCCCCCCCACTCACCATCGCCCCCCCCCCTACACCATCGCCCATGGAGACACCATTCCTGGAAATAAAGCCTAAACTTGTCACAATGTTGCCGTGTTTGGACTCTGCTCTTCAGCGCCTGGAAATGCCAGACTATTCCGCTTGGAATGTTACATTTGTGCACTTCTGCAGTTTGATCGTTAACAAGAAACAATGAAATCACAAGATTAAATACCGAGGTGGTGCGATGGGATCGAAGCCTAGGGAGTGAGGATAGTCTAGGGATACATTATAATTTACACGTGGAAAATAGTAGTGGGGGCTGGTCCCAAACCTACACACAGAAATAACACCACACGAGACCAGAAGGCATGGCAGGATGTGCAGAATACCCCCGTTGAAAACCAGAGATGCAACAGGTACTCTGAGAAATACATCTATTAACATCAGAGGCCCGAGACTGTTCAACACGCTTCCACAACCAGGCTGTTGGATGCGGCTGCTCGCAGCCTGACCTATGAATTACAACCTACTTGATTAGGTATCCTTTGGACGTGCTTATCAATTTCTCTCTTGAACACTGTGAAGGATCGGACGCCTGCGCTCAAGAGAATACAGATTTAGGCATTTTGGCATTTTAACTCCTTGGACCGTCGGGGCTGGAGCACAGACTTGCGAGAAGATAGCTGTGATGTGAGGACGGAGGGTAGACACCATCCCCAACTTCTTGGACCGTCGGGGCTGGAGCACAGTTACGAGAGACGCGGTCGTTACCGTACCGACCCGTCCAAGTGGTTAGATAAAAAATAATTCCTGGTATTAATGATTAATGGTTATCTTGGAGTCTCCTGGAAGACCAGAGCCGGGCGGATGCAACCGTCACCTAAGCTAGGCCGTCAGTTAAGACACATACAAACTTTAACTTCACTTTCCCTTTCTTGTGTACACAAAACCAGATGCAGAAAATAAACAAAACTGAGGAAAAATTATAGTTTAACAAATACTGAGAGAAATGGGAGCAGTTGGAGTTAACACACACCTGTGAACCATGTGGGGAGTGTCCTGGGGCAGGCGGCCAATATCAGGGGGCACGGGTATATTTTGGTGGGTTGTGTGTGTGTAAAGGTAGGCTGACGCAGTGGTGTTCAGCTGGTAATAGTGACGCTGACGTGCAGCCAATATTGTGCACGCCACACCACCTTTACCTCTGACGATCAACTAGTGACGAAGGCCAAGAACTGACTCCCAATGACGCGTCCACATACGAAACCTGTACATCTTCCCTCAATCAATGGCGCCTTAGTCTGCATTAAACAGTTCACGAGCCTCAAACATCACAAGCCAAGGTTATTATTGTTATAAACAACTTAGCTGCGCTTCCGAGCTCATAAACTGTTTAATAAATGAAATCAATGCCTGCACGACTGAGGAAAGTTGTGCAAGTTTGGTAAGTGGACATTTAAGCACTCGAGTCGTAAGCTCCTGGTCAGGCAGCGACGATCACGGCACAGTCTCTTAGTCCAAGCTCCCTGAGTAAGCACTAGAGGCAATGATACCCACACACACTGAAGGAGGCTTCAAGGGCTTAGACAAAGCACCCGGATGGAAGTGGACATGACCTGTCGACCACTGGCGGAGGTACTTGTCATCCACCGGTGGGCCACTGTGGCTGTAGCAATGATGGGGGAGGGCCACTGTACCAACAAGGGCAGGTGTGACAATCCAACACCAAGATAATGACAGTTTACACAAAAGCTCCAGGTGTTGGTGAACGACCCTTCGGGCGATAAGAGATAATTATAACCCCAACAAGGAATAGATGACACGCTCTCCAAAAGCCCTAACGGCATGGGAGATAATCCCAGCTGTCTGCACAACCGTTACGACTGACAAGTCAGGGTGATCCACCCTACCTTGGGTTTACCTTGGGTTTCCCTTGTGTTGTGTCCGGGTGTGAATGTCCAGCGGCAGGTCTCTGACCAGGCCTGGTGGGCTGGAGGTCTGCTCAACCACCCTCTTAAGACGCCGCTGTCTGCACCCTGTCGTATGAATCACAGCCCGGTTGATCAGGCATCCTTCAGAGGTACGTAACAAATTACATGTTGAACACCAGAGGTCGGGTAGTTATGTTTAGAGGACGGATCAACCTGATCAACCAGGCTGTGACTCATACGTCAGGCTGCGAGCAGCCGCGTCCAAGAGCCTGGTTGACCAGTCCGGCAACCAGGAGGCCTGGTCGACGACCGGGCCGCGGGGACGCTAAGCTCCGGAAGCACCTCAAGGTAACCTCAAGGTAAGGATGTAGAAGTCTCAGGTTCTTAATGATGTTGGAATTGACTCGGCGTAACTCACCCAGGTACTACCAGATTATAATTAAAGCGTCAGATTAGCTGTGTAACAAGGCTAGAAGATGGGGCACAAAGACACTATTTACCCGCAGTGAGTGACAGGTAAGTACTTAAGAGGTAAGCACCAGCGTCATCGTGGAGGACGGCCACCACGCCTACCCATCACCAGCGACCAGACTCTCCCAACAAGCTGCCACAAGACCCACTCTCAAGGTTGGCCTTTCATCTAGCTGCCTCGGAGCTCTCCCCCAACTTCGTTTAAAATTAGAAGCGACTATTTACAGGAATATGGTCTCGTTCTTCAGTGAACCTTACTGCCGGGAAAATCTTGTAGCTTCAGGGGAAACAGGGCACAGGTATGCCAACTGTGAGTCCGGTTTAGTTTATGTCCCTATGCCCATCGTGTGGGCGGTCGTGCACCCCATCGTGTGGGCGGTCGTGCACCCCATCGTGTGGGCGGTCGTGCACCCCATCGTGTGGGCGGTCGTGCACCCCATCGTGTGGGCGGTCGTGCACCCCATCGTGTGGGCGGTCGTGCACCCCATCGTGTGGGAGGTAGTGCTAAATGCGAGTATGTATATGGGTGCGCGCGCACGTCCTAATCCGAGAGCATATATGCCTGTGTGGGTGGGTCCATGACCAGAGTGAAGTTGACCGTATACGGTGCTGGTGGCCACCACATTTTGGTAGATATTTTGTTTCTATTGTTTTCGTCAGCACGTGCGTGGCCATTCACTTACCTGGAGTATACCTGGAGAGGTTTTCGGGAGTTTTTCTGCCCGAGCCTGGCCTGGGGCCAGGCTGGACTTGTGATAACATGGTCCAACAGTCTGTTGTTTGAAGCGGCCCGCAGGGTAACATATCCACAACTCGGTTCGTCTGGAACTTCTTGCAGCAACTTATGTACCTGGTTGATACCTGGTTGATGGGGTTCTGGGAGTTCTACTCCCCAAGCCCGGCCCGAGGCCAGGCTTGACTTGAGAGTTTGGTCCACTAGGCTGTTGCTTGGAGCGGCCCGCAGGCCCACATACCCACCACAGCCCGGTTGGTCCGGCAATGTAATTTCTTCTTGAAGAAATTTACCTTTGTTCCAGCACTATTTCTAATGGCTACTGGGAGAGATTGAATAGCCATAGATCTGTGATGTTCAGAGTTATCTGATAGTGCCTTTGGCACCTCTACTTCTCACTAGATCTACTCTATTTCAATCCGGAACTTTCGCTCCAGTATGTTATTCTACCGAGCAAATTTGGGACCTGGCTTTCCAGTATCATCCAAGGTATATATTTAATTAATATCTCACTCTTCTCCTTTTCACAGAAAGCATTTTGAGAGCTTTCAGACGGTCCCATAATTTGGGTGCTTTATCTGGTCCATGCATGCCGTACATGCTCTCTGTATGCCCTCTACTTCAGCAATCTCTTCTGCTCTGAAGGGAGAAGCAAGAACTGGACGGTACGGCCCGCATGGACACGATAAAGCACCCAAATTATGGGACCGTCTGAAAGCTCTCAAAATGCAATATGCAACACAAAATTCCTGTGTGGGAGTTTTGTCCCTAAGACTGTTTCCCATTGGAAACAAGGTCAATGCACCGTATTAACGTAACCAAACCTAGGGAAACCTAACCAAGCCTTATCCTAACCTACCCTTAACCTAACCTAACTATGGCTAAGGAGTACTGTAGATAATAGTACCAATGACGTAGTGGGTTTGACGTTAGTACTGTACCTCCACAGGCAAATCCTCCTTGATGACAGGTCGACTTTTAAGAAGAGGCACAGTAGCAAGGCATTATTTTATGATGTTATTAAATGTATATCACACTTTTCCCCTCGGTATGAAGAAAGCAAATTGAGCGATTCTTCGTTTAGGATAACACAGTCGTTATTTATTTATAATAAAGTTATCTACAGTTATTTGATTTTGTATTCGTTGTAATCTGTGTTGAAGTGAGATGAACAATATAATCTAGTTTGGAGGCCCTTCAGGCCTTTGGCAATAACTAGGGGAAAATATTAATATTTGTATAAACTTGACTATTTTCATATTTGTATGAAAGTAAAACACACATCAAAATTCTTACCCTAACTTGTATATAATTACAAATTACGTCTTCTCCACTTGGAAATGAATTGTAAGTGTTCCTAATTAATATTTGTATATCATTTATGCTAATTATAATTAGAGGAGTTATGCTAACTGTGAGGTGCCGAGACGCACCAACCTGCCGCCCACTGCAGTGTTCTGTAAATTATTCTCTTGAGAGTTTGTGACTCAGAGACACTGTATATATTGTATTTTTTACCGTATGAGTCAACTACTAAAGTAGTCAACACTCGCAAGGGTTTAATCTGGATTTTTAAAGAACCTACAA